GCAGTTGAACAAGAACTGTCTACCCCTGGAGATTAAATATAAGGTTCAGTTTGGAATTTCTGGTAGGTTAACCTGGATCGATATATGCCTGAAGCACAACGGCTGAAACAGTGTGATGACAACAAAAAGGACATGGACAATAGTCCAAATATACTTAGTGTAAATAATGACACCTGCTCAGGCCCATAAATTCAGTGAGAAATTCTTTATTTCTGTTTTTCAATTTAGCTCTTCATCATAGTCTCATTTTATCTTTCACATTGCTCTTCATTTCTCTGTTGCATTCTATTTTAATATCTCCATTTTTACCTCAATAATAAAATCTATTTCTTTGTTCACATTTGGTTGATTGTCCTCTGGTCTTCATATGTTTTTTTTTTTAAGTGATTCACCCCAAGCAAGGTGGGAAGCCACTAGCATGCAAGGGGTTACAGAGCATTAGACCTAGAGCAAATAGGAGTGATAGAGGAAAGGATGAAGAGAAGGATAGGGGATAGATCAAGGCATCTGGAGACATCGATTGACATTACATTTGAATAGTTGGAGATTATAGCTCTCAGGGAAACAAGAAATGGGGAGGGAGTTCCACAGGCGAGAGGTGCAAGACGTGAAGCTATTGAAGTAGAAGAGATGGCTACATTTAACAGTTTCGACAGTGAAGCGAGATGCTAGCCTAGTTGAACACTTAAATTCATGAAGTCTGGGAACCAGCGAAAGCAGCTCATTAGAGCAGTTACTGTGAAAGTATTTGTAAAAAAGACAGAGGGAAGCGACAACATATCTGTGAGAGAGTGACTGCAAACAAGTTGCTAGATCAGAGCCACTTGTTGCATATCCATCTCTGGATTTTATCAAGGACCTTGAGACAAACAGAAGTGGCTCCAGGCAACATATATGGCAGCAATACTCCATGCAAGAGTGAATGGTTGATTTTTGTGTGTGTTTGTCTTTTTTGTGTGTTCTTAAACAAATCTGGTACTTTTAAAGCAACCATCCAGTTGTTGGTATTTTCCTTTGGGACTGAATCTCTTGCAAAACCTTTCTTAATTATTTTATTACTTACACTTTTCATCTACTTTACTTCTGCTGCTTTTAAATATTAGCTCAATGCAAAAGTTCCTGGTGTCATTTCATGCATAATGTTAGGGAAATCTTAAATGCATCCCTACTTAGCTTTTTATTTCTGGTGTTATCAAATCAAATGTAGTATAATTTTTTTTTTGATCAGTTTCACCCCCATGCAAGGCCGTAAAGCTACTAAGATGCAAGGGGTTACTGAGTGTGAAAGAATTAGGAACAGAAACATTAATAATGAGTGGGAAGAGAAAAGAACAATCAGGAGGACAGTAGATAGCAATTGACATTGCATTTAAATTTTTGCAGATTAAAGTTGACTGGAAAACATGGATTTGAAAATTCCAAATAATGCAGAATAATTCAGAAGCAAAAAAAAATATGCTCTACGGGAGACACTTGTTTTTTGCCTTTTGATCAGCACAGAAGAAAAAGCAAATCATTTTTGGATGAGCTATGGATGAAGTGAGTAAGCAACAAGGACCTCTTAAAGAAAATAGCAACAAAAAGGACACTTATACTCAGAAACAGAAAGAGAAAATTTCTTGGACACACAATGAGGAAAGAGGGCTTGGAAATCTTAACCCTCACAAGGTATATTAAGGGCAAGAGAGAGAGAGGAGAGCAGTGAGCTACTTCTCTGATAAGCTAGTGTGAATGAATGGTGGAATGGTGGGGGCGCTTAGCAAAGGAAGTAAAACTGTAAAAATTCATAAGGAAAAGGAAGTTTTGGAGAGCCATTATCGCCCATGTCCTGAAGTGACTCGGCACATAGAAGAAGTCACGGCAAACATGGATAAATGTGCCTGCAATATGACAGATTGTCAAAAGGACAGTTGTTCCTTTGACACTGGTATTATTTTAATTACATTCACTCTTTGGTAAAGTTTATTGTTTAAAAAAGCAATGATTAGAATTGGACTAAAATCTAAATATATCAAAGTGAATTAAACATTTTCTTTGTTCTTGAGGATTGAAAACAAAAAAAAAACACTATTAGATACTTTATTTATACTATTTATTATATTATTTATTGGAATGGCTGGCAAAACATCGGCTAATTGCCAATTGATTCAAACTTTATAAAATGGTAAATAATAAGGATTTCCTTATAGTTGATTCGCATATTTTAATAATTTAGTAAATGTTTATAAATTTATGAATAAAAAATTGTTTTCACATTTATTTCTTTATAAATTGGTAAATGATAAATATTGCATTGAATTAGTTTTAATTGTATTAGTTTTTAGAATGTTGTAAATATAAAATTATTCTTGTAAATAAACAATCTAATAAATAGTGTTTAATATTTTTGCTGCAAATTCTCAAGAGTAAAAAAAATAATGTTTAAATTCACTTTCATCTTGTGTTTAGGTTTATTTCAATTCTAATCATTGGTTTTAAAACAATAAATATTGCCAAAGTGTGAAGGTAGTTAGAAAAGTGGTGTCATGGGAAAAAAAAAAAACTTTTTTGACACACTGTCATATTGCAGGTATATTTAACCATGTTTGCCAAAGTCACAAGCAATAAAAAATAGTTTTATTTTGAGAATCCAAAATAAAAGGAAAATCATGGCTACAGATTTCAACATAAATGGAATTTTTTTACACATATCTCAAGTCCCATAACTCATTAACGCCATAGGAGCACCACATGTATTGCAGCTATAACAGTAGATATGGCATGTCTAAGACAAGGAAGCCTATGGAGTCCATCCCTCTTCAGACTGGTTTTGAATTCAGATTTGTCTTTTTCTTCGACTAGTTGCCACCTCAAGGCAAGAGAGTTCATTCAATCCTGCTATTTAACTCATAGTTGAAGTAGAAAAAAATGAATCCATACCCTTCCCAAGGGCATTTGTGCAAAAGTGAATATAACAGACTTGGCCATAATTTGAACTTGGTTCACAAATTTCTCTTTCCAAGTTTCTAACTATGACACCACCCACTCATCCAATTGAATCTACTGTAGGGAAAAGCCTCTATGTTTGGTGGTGTGCTAAAGGAATTGTTACAAATTACTGGACAAAGTGTTATTTGCAGAATGTTTGGGTGAGCAACTCGCTTGTCTGAATGATGCAATGGAAAAGGTAAGAAAAAAAAAAATTTTCCTGGTTAAAGCAGTGGACTAGGGAGTTTGTTGCATGTCAATACCTGTCCTCAGGTTGCATATATGATGCAGGAAAAGATCTTGTAGCAGGGGATGCAAAGTCCTTCTACATGTAGCATAATCCTGACCCCTGTCACCATCAGACTATCATCTGTCTCATTCTGCCCAATAATCTGTCTGGTCGGCATTTCCAAAAAAGACAAGACATTGAAGAAGTCATCAAATCAAAACTGGAATTGCTCGTTTCTGGTGGAATACACAATTTAGCTGAAAGATCGGAGAAAGCCAGGGAAAATGCAGTAATAATACTACGGATTTATATCAGATATTTTGTCAGAAAGGATGGAAACTTTTGCATCAAACTAATATTAATCCATGCTGATTTTCTAGGTAATACTAAAAATAAAAAAAAATAGGTATCTGGGCACTACTTAATTGGTCCACTCGTAAAATAAAAATAGTAGAGAATTAACAACTTTTATAGACTAGCATTCATTAGACATTCCTCTTGCCACAACATTTATTGGAATCGGAAAATAATGACGAAAATAGATTCATACATGTCTCACATGTAAAATATTCCAAAAAGGGAAATGGTGGCTTTACAAGTCGTATATTTAAAAAAGATATATTGTGTAGTCAGATAGACTTTTGAGAGAATCCCTTTTAATATATGCAAATTTTAACTGTCACTCAATCTATAAAAAGTGCTTAAAGAGACGGCAGACAGAAATGCGACTGCTGTAGCAAAGAAGAGACACGTGTTATTGGATTGTTTGATTTACGCTAATCTGTTGGTTGAAGAAATGAAATTGGGGACTTTATTACAAGACAGAAGTAGCTGACCACAAATATTTTGTTTTTTTTATCATTCTAGAAAAAAGAGTCCTCTTCATAATTCCTTGATTTTTTTAAAGAGTCAGCTTTGAAACTGTGCTTACATCATTGATAGTGGTGTACTACAGTAGTACGCCACTATCAATGATGTAAGTGCAAGGCAATAAAGCCTCTAAGATACAAGGAGTCACTGAATGTGAGAGAATATGAAGAAAAAATTATTAAGAGAGAATAATAAAAGAATAGGAATTAAGAAGACAGAAGATAACAATTGACGTTGCATTTTATTTATTGAAGATCAAAGTTAACTGGGAAGCATGAAGCTGGAAGTGAGTTCCACAAGCAAGAAGTGTGAGAGATGAAACTGTTGGTATAGAACTTACAGTTACCTCTAGACATTTTAATATGTTGAATATCAGTAAAAAGAAAAATATATGACATTGTCTTCAGAAGAGTTTTGAAATTCATCCGGGAATTGACACAAAGTTGTCTCCCTGGTACACCTAAAGTAAATTGTTTCCCTTGCATTAGTTATGGTGATTGTCTACGCGCACCTTAGATGTGGCACAAGGCCAAAAGTATAGGGCACCCAGCAACTCACTATTCAGACATAATTGCTCTTGCGAAACATGTTTGCTAACTATTACACCAAATTGAAGTGATCAAATGATTTTCTAAGCATAGCTTAGACGTGACACAAGACAAAAAAATATGGGACACCTAGTGAGGATCGAATTCACTATTCAATTGTAATTGAGACAAATTGAATGAATATTTTTCTTCCAGTAAGGCATTTAAAAAGGCATTATGTAAAATATGAGCCAGTTTTTTGTGCTTAATTATTTTTAATAAAGTAAATCGTAAAGAAATTTATTTTTAAATAAAGTAAATTGATGTGCACAAAAAAATATTTTAGAATGTCAATTCATTTTATTAAAAAATAAATTACATTACGATTTACTTTATTAAAAACAATTAAAAACAAAAACTGCTTCATTTTGTTTTTCATTTTTCGATTTTCTTTATTAAAAAATAATTAAAAATATGTGTTTTATTGAATTATTTTTTATGTCAATTCAATTTACTTTAAGTCAACTTGTCGACTTCTCTTCTTGTTCAGGCTAGCCTTGCTATGCACCATGACAATAGGCAATTTAAATTTTTATATTTTTTTTGTTTCCTTCAACTAATTTAAAGGTCTCTTGCTGCCAAACATTAATATTTAACTACTGGTTGATATATCTGTACAAGCATTTTTTTTATTTGTGTTATCTGCTCCTGACCGGAGTCCAATTGCTGAGGTTAGAAGCGTCCAATCCAGAACCCAGCTGGGCCAGGATTTATTTCTTCACAGTATTTGTTCCTTGAAAACCTGCTCTTAATCACAGCCATTTTTGTAACATCTGTTTATTCAAAGATGCTTGTTGGGGGTTGGGGCTTGCAGGTTTAAGGTTATCTTTCTCTAAGAGCAGCTAGACACCAATTCCTTCATTTTAATAAAACGAAATAGCTTTTATAGGCTTTGACTGTGAGCCTCATCAGTGTAGTCTTGGATTAGTTCTGAATATATATTTCCTGGGTGTTTGTTAGGAATCAGATACATTTGTGGCTAGTCTGTCTTTAACGTTTAACATGTGTGGTAATGAGTTAACTAAGTGTTCCATTTAACAAAGGCAGGATATACATATCGTGAGCAGGCAGATATGATTTTTACATACGACCATGCAAATGATAATGGACATGAGGCTGCATGGCTGTATCAGATTGTGTTTCCACACCTAGGGCAGCCAAATCATTCAACTGTTGTTTATAATTGCATTGCTGAAACAGGATCTGTGGCATCACAAACTATAGATCGAGGAAGACCAATTGTACATTTAACAGCATTTACCATAAACATTAAACTTAATAAATGAAAAGGATATTCGAATATATGTTTATATGGATATTTGTCCTTATTTTGGTGTGAGGAACTTGCCCTCAAAGTTTATCAAGCAATGTGATATTTGCCTTGAAAAAGTCCCTTAGAGGACGAAACACATTGGCTAAGAATAGTTTTTCCTAGTCTTTTTATTCATTTTGTTCCTTTACAGATCCACTCTATCTGAGAATAATTTTATATATATATATATATATATATATATATATATATATTTTAAGATATTTTTATATTTATACATTCTTTTTATAGATACAAATATTTAAGTAAATGCTCTGTTTATAATTAAGAGTATTAAACAACATTTACCGGCCTGAATGTCCGAGAAATTTTCACAGAAAATATTCATCCTCTGACAGGATTCGAACCTGTATCCTATACGGAACCATCATTTAGCTTGACGTGCCTCAACCAATTTTGACAACAGCGGAGCGTTCGGTTAGCAAGGTTGAATTTACTGTATTTGAACTTCAATCTTCTATGAATCTCTCATGTACATTCATATCTGCTCATGACGTATCAAATGTAAACAAAAGACTTCACACATTATGAAATGGACAAAGTCCAACAATTATTTTAAGACATTTTGATGTTTATACATTCTTTTTATAGATGCAAATATTTAAGTAAATGCTCTGTTTATAATAAACAGTATTAAACAACATTTACTGGCCTGAATGTCTGAGAAATTTTCACCGAAATATATATATATATATATATATATATATGTATTTTTTTTTTCTAAGAAAGGAGTTTTGTTGGTCTCATGCTCAACTGTGACCCACAAAATAATCAAAGGAGTTGCAGTCTGGGGAGTTGGGTGGCCAGATGTGGTTGCAGAAATTATCTGACATCCATGACTTAGTTTTCCTGCTTGTGTGACATGGTGCAAAGGCCTGTTGCCAGACATAGGGTCTTCTAGAAGCCACCCTCTTGATGTAGGCCTCTAGGATGTTGAGTCTGAGGCCCTAGGGAAAGATGAATGGAGGCATAATGTCACCATCACTAGTGATCACTCTAAACATGTTCGTAATCACCATGCGAGTCATACAGAATCCTCTGCAATGTCCTCAGATTGACATCCAAACACTGAAATGCTCAGTTTGGAGCTTCTTCTGGTGTGAATGCCAAGCTGTACAGTGTGCTGTTTCTGATTTTCTGGCAGTCTTGAATTGCATCAGGGTGCTCTTTTTCTCACAGACAGTGCCCAACTGACTCCACCATACTGTGCAGTTGACAAAATGAAAAACAATCAGCACGCATGTGCAAAATGAAGAATATAAAATAGTGACAATTTATCCATCGCACGCTGTATATAAGTAAGGTCAGTAAATGTAAAGATTTTCATAAATCAGAAACTTACTTGTTCTGCAAATTCCTCAGGGCTTGATGAAGGGTCGGGATAGATGGGTTCGCCAAATATTGTTCTGTGTAAATAAATTTTGAATCAGCATCAAATTCATGATGAATTTATAACTCAGAAACAAAGAAAAGGACAGTTTTTCCCTTGACACCACTATTATTTTAACTACCTTCACTCCTTGGCAATGATTAGAACTGTAATAAAACCTAAACATATTAAAGTGAATTCATACATTTTTTTGTTCATAAGAATTGACAACAAAAATAATAAACACTATTAGATTGTTTATTTACCCAATTTATTTTTTATATTATTTATTGGAATGGCTGGCAAAACATCGGCTAATTGCCAACTGGTCCAAACTTGATAAAATGGTAAATAATAAGGATTTCCTTATAGATGGTTCACATATTTTAATAATTTAGTAAATGTTTATAAATTAATGAATAAAATTTATTTTCCTATTTATTTCTTTACAAATTGGTAAATGATAAATATTGCATTGGTTTAGAGAATGTTGGAAATATAAAATTATTCTTGTGAATAAACAATTTTATAAATAAATAGTGTTTAATATTTTTGACTTAAATTCTCAAGAACAAAAAATAAAATGATAAATTTACTTTCATGTGTTTAGATTCTTATTCCCATTCTAATCATCACTTTTTCAAATGATAAACATAGTCGAAGAGTGAAGGTAGTTAAAAAAAAAAAAAAAAAAAAAAACGGTGTCATGGGAAAAACTATCCTTTTGAAACTACATCTTATTGTGGGCATGTTTATTCATGTTTGCCAATTTTTTTTTTTCAAAAAAATAATATATATATATATATATATATATATATATATATATATATAGAGAGAGAGAGAGAGAGGGCTATTTGATAAAAGTGACTCACCTGATTTTTTTTTGCTAAATGTTCTCTTCTCCGATGAAACAAAAGTTGAGCTTAATTCAAAGGACAAGCGATTTAAAATCCGAAGAAAAAGATTTGAAAGCTCTTTGAATTTAACAGTAAGTACTGTCAAGAATCCGTTCAGTATAATGTTCTGGGGGATGCTTTTCTTTTCATGGAACTGGTTTCTTAAAACCAATTGAAAAAACCCTCAGGAGCGAGCAGTGCAAGAGAATTTTAGAGTCTTGTCTGCTCCCTTCTGATGAAAGGGTGGAAATTGACCCCACCAAGCTCATTTTTATGCAAGATAATGCTCCCTGTCAAAAACAAAATTGATGAAGGAATACTTTGATGAGAAGCAGGTGAGTGTTATGACATGGCCACCCCAATCTCCTGACCTCAACCCCATAGAAAACTTATGGAGCATGTTGCTTAACTGCTTTCTTGAGAGTCTGTACTTTATAATGCTCCATAAAAAAATCAGGTGAGTCACTTTTATCGAACAGCACTGTATATATAAGCAGTGATAAGTTTATCAAAACAAAAGTCATTCAAAGTGTTGTTCTTTAAAACATCGATCTATAAGATATTATTTTCAAATGTGTTATCTTGAACAGAATGTTCTCACCTTCTTCAGCCATACATTGTTTTTTTCATGTTCGTAAATCACTTCCACCACTGCTTTGTTGAACCAACTCCCAGGAGGATGCTTCCCCAATCACTACAATCTTAACCTGCTCAAGTCTAGTGTTAACTGTTATCTTCCCTACATATCCAGAGACGGATATGCAACGTAACCGGTCCGGATCTAGCAACCCGTCTACAGTTACTTACTCACAGACACGCTGTGGCTTCCCTCTGTCTTTTCTACAAGTACTTTCATGGCAACTGTTCTGACAAGCTACTTTCACTGGTTCCCAAACTGCATGAATTTAAGCATGCTACTAGGTTGGCATCTTGATCTCACCCTTTCACTGTTGAAACAGCTAAATGTAGCCATGTCTTCTACTCCAAAAGCTTCTTATCTCACACCTCCTGTCAGTGGAACTCTTTTCCTGTCACTTGCTTCCCTGAGAACTATAATCTTCAAATATTCAAATGTAATGTCAATCGATATCTTCTGATGCCTTGACCTTGATCACTGTTTATCCTTTTCCCAAACACTCCTCTTTACTCTTACTCTCCCCCTCTATAACCCCTTGCATGCCAGTGGCACTCCCGCCTTGCATGGGGCGATTTGCTTAAAAAAAAAAATTTCCCCTTAATCTGTGTCTCTTACTCTGTAATCCCCTACATTGAGTGGCTCTTGGTCCTTGTACAAGGTGAATATCATTGTTAAAAAAAAAAAAAAAAAAAATTTGTCCAACCAAAGCTTATCATTGAAGCATCAATCCATATCATTCTGGTGTCAGTTTAAACTGATTTCTTCTTTATATTGTGATTATTTTTACTAAAAGTTTTTCATTTTTGACTTCTGATGAAAACTTGGAAATTTTCCAACATATATCAGTGGAATTTTCTCTTCCCAAAATTATAGTTTATAAATATAGTTTAGATATAGGGGGAAAAAAGAAGGTGTCAGTTTAAACTGATGCCAAGAGGATATGGATTGATATTTCAATTTTGAGCTTCTGAATATCTACATTGCACTAAAACATTTCTATAAATTATTTTCTTAAATATTTGCAATATTTTTCTGTAAATTATTTTCTCATATTTATTTGCAATAAAACATTTTTTTCAAAATTATTTTCTCAAATATTTAATTTGTACTACAAGATAGCTTTTCTCTTTGATATCTCTCACCTTCACAAATTTTCCATACAGTACATGTGCAGTGTGATGTAACAGATAACACCTTGGAATGAGAAATCAGAGATCCAAGTTCAAATTCCTGTTGGGTTTGTTATTCACTTGCATGTACTGGGTTTAACAGCAAAATTGTCCAATTGTTAGATTAAGCCTTGAACAGTTGTATCTTAGAAATGATTAAAGATATCTTACTGGAATTCTCAGAGGTTTTTATGACACTATTGGACTTTACTTTGAGCATTAAGAATGAGTAATTACTTTCTAAGGTTAACAGTAGTATCGTGATGAAATTGATCATAAACATAAAAGATGTTCATTATTAACTAATCATAGCTAAGGATCAGAAGCTCATGAAAGATTGAAATAAAATTCAAATAAATATATATATATATATATATATATATATATATTCCAGGATCATTTTCCAATTTATTCAAGATGACCTTCACCCTCTCTAATGTTCTAACTTTCTGTCCTGGAGTAACAAGGTGCCTCATATGTTTCACATACGATTTCCTTTTCAATACTTTTTTGCACTACCCTATCATAGCTGAAACTTCTCTCTCACATGCAAAATGCCTTATGAATTGAGTTGGATCTTTTCTAATCAATCTCCTTAACTCTAAGTTGAAATGATGATCCATCTTCCTGTTATGACCCCCTGATCCAGTTTTCCTCTCTACTGTTCCCTCTTTTTAAAACTTATTTACCATTCTCTGGATGGATCTTGAATGGACTTCGAAGATGGAAGCCAGTGCATGAATGTAGATACCATTACTGAAGGCCTGAATAATTTTTTTCCTCTCACCATCACTCATCACTTGAGAAAACTGTGGGTGTCACAAAACGATTTTAACCTGTTCTCTTTCTAGCTGAATAACTCAAAGGCTTTTTCAGTGACACTTATGACAAATGGTATCAAGATGACTAAATGTTTTATCTGAAAACTGGGAAAAAGTGTTTTCTTAAATATTAACATTTTGTGGAATGAACAATTATGTTGTAATATGATTTGGACAATTTTGCTGTTACACCTGGTAAATACCATTTTCTTCCCTTCCCAGTTATGGGGTGAATAACAGGACAGACTGAGTTCTACAGCCTTGGTTGGAAACCAGTCTAGTCAGACATAAATTGTAAGAGATATGATTGTTCAAGCATGTATCACCTATGGTACATATGGTCTCACCCCTTTTACTGTTGAAATTGCTAGGTGTAGCCATAAGCTCTATGCTGAGAATTTCTTTTCTCACACTTCTCACTTGTGGAACTTTCTTCCAGCTTCTTGATTTCCTGTCAACTACAATCTACAAAAGTTTAAACGCAATGTCAATCATCATGTTTGAATACCGGTTTTTATTTTACCCTCTCTATCCTCAATAACATTTTTTTTTCAGTTTCTTTCACCCTGTAACCCATTACGTCTTAGTGGCTTTATCACCTTGCTTGGGGTGAAATGATAAAAACAAAAATATTTTCAGAAAAATTTTTCAGCAACAATGGTAAGTTTTATAAAAAGAAATTTCAACTATAATATATGTTAACTGTTCATGAAAAATAAATGATTTGAAATGAAAATACTCACTTTAATTTGACTGGAAATCCACCATAAATAGGAACGAGGGGTAACCTTGTCTTTTCATACACTCGACGCAATAAATCTGAAATGATAACGGTAATATTAGACGTTTTTTTATAAGGAAACATTCAGTGTTCATAGACTGAGCAATCAGTACTACTGTTGGTTAAAATTTATAAAATCTATTAAAAGTATTTTTCAGGAAAACAGGGTTCTCAAGCTGATATTGCTTTTTCCAGTATTGACAGGGGCTTTCTTCCTTAACCTTTTGTTTAAAGTCATGTGGAACATCAACATGTTCAATACACTAATGTGCGTGCTATATAAAAAAGTTTTCTGTCTATATTTCTGAGATGAGGAATTATGTACACTATTTACATTATTTGAACTATTGTCCTCATCTTTATTGCCATATTTATTACAACGTTTTGGCCATTGTATGCTCCGTCCTTCTTCAGGTGGTTGGAATGTCGAACTGAACCCTTTATTTTGCTCAATGGGTGTAGACTGTTTGAGTTCCACGTGCCATGTTTAATGGATGTCAGTTATCAGTTATCTCCTGTTAATTTCCCTCTGAAGGTTCTCCATAGCCTTAACCAGGTATTGAACAGTCTACACCAGTGAGCAAAATAAAGGGTTCAGTTCGACATTCCAACCACCTGAAGAAAGCTGGAGTGTACAACGGCCAAAACGTTGTAATAAATATGGTGACAAAGATGAGGACAATAGTCCAGATAATGTAAATAGTGTAAAAAAAGTTTTATTCTCCCATTTGTGTTTCCACCATTCTTGGTATTATTATATCGATTATATTATAACATCGTATATCAACCTAGGATCCTGAAACTATTTAATCCGTAAGTGCATGGCATCCAATTTTTTATAGTGGGTGTTACCTGAAATTTAAAATCTACTACCCCTAAGATTACCATCAACCAGCAAGGTAGATATGGCAGAGAGAGCTAAAATTTTAAGGATACTTTACATAGTAACCAGTTAATGTTAATTATTATTACTGAATATCTGCCTTTAATGTGACCAGAAATCCACCATAAATATGAATAAAGGAACCTTGTTTTTTCATACAATCAATGTAATAAATCTGTAATGGTAATAATATTAGATGTTTCCTTATAAGAAAAAGTTGGTTAACTGTATCATGCAAGACAATTTTTCTCCTCAGAATCTATTTTACATATCTATAAGTCTACCATTCCCCCACACTTAGAATACTGCTGCCATATATGGTCCAATGCTCCTGCTATTTACCTTGAGCTCTTTGATGAGATCCAAAGAAGAATCACCAATGTTATTGGTCCTGATCTAGCATCTCAGCTTCAGTCACTTTCCCCACCACTGTAAGTTTGCCTCTCTTTTCTATAAATACTTCCATGTTAAATGTTTGAGTGAGCTCTTTGGTATTGTGCCAAGAGTTTTTTAATTTAAGCACAGTACAAGAATGGTGTCAAGATCTCATCAATTTACAGTTGAGCTGACTAGTAGATGTAGCCATAAGTTTTATGCTAACAGTTTCTTTTCTCGCACTTCTCACTTGTGGAACTCCCTTCCAGCTCCATGCTTTTGAGCCAACATTAATCTGCAAAAATTTAAATGCAATATCAATCACTATCTACTGTCCTCCTGATTACTCTTTTCTCTTTCTGCTCATTATTAATGTTTCTGTTCCTAATTCTTCCATACCTTTGTAAACCCTTGGGTCTTAGTGGCTTTATGTCTTGCATGGGGGTGATACTGATTAAAAAAAAAAAACAGGTGATAAAATCCCTCAGGAATGGAAGGTGACTCTGGCCTGAAGCGAGTTAGTAAATTATGTTCAAAAAAGGCTCACAGCCACCATTTTTAGGCACTTCTTCGAAATCCAGATAGCATCCCCAAACTTTTAGCTTATAGTGTATCAGGTCACTTCACTATTAAGTGAAAAAACAAAAAAAAAATCTTGCCTCTTTCTTGCCATTAAAAAACACAATAAGATATTATTACCTCAACTTTCACAGAGTGCGTCAGTCCCAAAAGAAAATCTCATCTCATAAAAACAGATCTTAGAGCAGCTGAATCAGATTCAAAGCTATACATGAAAATATTTAAAATATAACAGGCAAGTTGAGTCAATCATTTACTTGTAAAATTTGTTCTGTCAAATAGTTTGACAAGGGAACAATTCAAAATAAAAAGTTTCTAAGTGAAAAGCATTAAACTTACTTCTGCACCAACTTGGTGTTCGGAATGCTTCACGAACATTTTGCGTAAACATTGGAATCACAGGCTGTGAAAGAGAAAGAAAAAAAGAAAAAGAAAAGAATTTGAATGAAAGAAAATCTGAAATGAAACAGAAATAACTCATTAACTCTTGTGGAAAGAAAATCCATTAAATCTATTTGTAATGGCACAGGCTAAAAGGATACTTATATCCAATCATGAATGTTGCACAACATATAAACACATATAATTAGTACTGCAAAAACAGCCAAATACAGAATGGCCAGAGCATCAGCTTATCTGATGACAAGTGGGCTCCCTACATCAAATAAAAATGCAATGTAAAAGCTGTTTTAGTAATAAAAAGGAATACCTTTATAAAGTAATCTGCACCCTATCTCTTGCTCAAGTCCAATGTGAGATGACATTTTCAAAGCTAAAGATCATAAAGACAAGGTTAAGAAATTCACTATGTGAGAAGAATTTGGGAACTTATGTGTCACTATCCAATGAAAAGGAATTCAATTGGATGCATAAGCAATTATTGGCAGATTTTCACAATCATTAAGAGAACATAAATGATTGCTATTAATATAGTGGACTGTACATAACGATCTATTGGGCTTTTGAACCAGCTGTTTATGCGTAAATTGTGCAGTAAACTATATTATTCAATCAATTACTTAAAATTAAAATAAACAAATAAAAATTTAATTAAAAAGAACAAAAACTTGTAATTCCAACAGATAAATTGTTTCTGTTTTTGTAAATGTTTCATTTATTTCTCAAGAGTGATCAAGGATTGCAAAAGCTTTCCGAAATATATCTGTTTTAACAATAAATTATCCGTTGGAATTACAAGCTTTTATTCTTTTTAATTCAACTTCACCAATGGAATCAAGTGTTTTTATAATTACCAATAAAAATTCACTTATAACATTCTGTATTTACATTTGGTATCTACTGCCTGTAATATGTACAGTACATGTACACTGTAATTACTAAGAAATACACATTTTTTCCACAAACATTTTAATTGTACCTTTTTTCCATGTATTTTCAGAATTTTATTTATTCATTATGAAAATTAAATGACAGCATTGTAGATGTGGGTGGGCCACATTGTCTAATGGTAAACAAGAGCCAGATCAGGCTGAAAATGGAGTACTGTCATCATATTTGGGTGGGACTGTTCAGTCCGCACTTTCCAGTCTTGACAGAGTTCAAAAGCATCTCTAACTCATTTTGGGTGACAAATTATTTTCCACCCTACAACCTCTCTCTCTCTCACAGGTGGGATGTGGCAAACCTCTTACTGCTCTATTACTATTTCCATGGAAAGTGCTTGGATGAATTTCATTCCTTAGTTCCGCCAGGGCTAACCTTCACTGCTAGGATTGGCAATGCCACTTAATTTGTAACAAACCACCAACATTCCCTCTGTATTCCACTGGTGAAAAGTAAGTTCCACTCAAACAGCTTCTTCCTACAAACCATAGCTTTATTGAACCAACCAAGAGGATGTTTCTCTGATCACTACAATCTTAAGTCTAGAAATAACCATTATCTTCCCTTCCTACTCATATAAATGGCCTCTTAATGTAATGACTCTGGGCCTTGTACAGGGTGGACCTTAGTATAAAAAATAATAGTAATAAAAAAAAAAAAAAAATATTTTTAGACCCACTGAAAACATCAATATGATTTTGAGCAAGGACATCATCTGGGGCTAGTGATCAATGTGAGTTTGCCAGATCTATGTCAATGGAACATCTGCCAAATCTTGGACCCTCTTTTCTGTTGGTGACAATGTGAGTTTAAGAAGGTCTACTAAAGACAATCAAATCCATGGCATCTGACATTGATAGCAAATATATTTGTCATCCAGCTGATACAAAATACAAAGATCCATATCTTTTACATAACTCTTACAGATCTTTGTCTGTCCAGGGTATGACGATAAAATACATCCAGCAGTAAGAACTCTGATCAGGAGCTTTTGAGTAGCATGGAACCACCTCTTAATTGCTGTTGTTCCAACCTTATCCAGGCTGGTAACACTTGTTAGTTTCCCAGCTATGGGCAAATCGTTACCCTCTAAACTTGGCTCAGAACACTATGTAAAATAGTAAAAATACCAGTAACACATTTTTGTAAAAAATAAGTACGACACCTCCCAAGAAAATTAAATTTTGGCATTAAATGACCCACAAGGAGTTGATATGCCACTAAACAAACAGAAACAGAAGACAGATCTTTGTATTTTTCCAGTTTTAATTAATGCTTTAAACTATTAAAATATTGAACTGTGTGGTTATATAGCATTTAAAAATATTCCCTGACAGTTCTTGGTTCAATCCCTCGGCCTGGTAGTGCTGGAAAACTACATGCTGTTTCAGCGGAAGAAACAGATAAGTGACAAAAATATGAATACAACTGGTGAGTATTAACTTATATGAGTTATCTCCCCTGGGCATGAAAAGTAGAGAACAATCTACTTTATGTATTGAATAAAGGCTTAGCTTAAAAAGCAAAAATGATCAGCAAGTATAAAGACTGATTGATTGATTCATTTCCTCTGTCTTATCAATCCTACTCGTGACATCCAAAGCCAGAAAACATCTCTAGATTGTAAGATTTTTTTTTTTTTTTTTTGAGATGATAATTACTAATTAACCCATAGCTGGGGAGGAGAAGATGCGGATTGATACCTTTCCCAAGAGCATTTGCAGGTAAATGAATATAATGAACCCAACAGGTATTGGTACTTGACTTTCACTAATTAACAATTTTCAGTAATTACCTATTACAATACCAGCACATCAAAGCTTACAGCACCTGGTATTCCCAAGTGGTCAACCATCTAGGTACTAACCAGACTTGATATTGCTTAAGTGGTGATTGTACGGCACCCAACAAGAATTGGAAATCAGTTCTGTAAGTAACAATTCCAAGCCATTATTCATTACACCACACACACATCCAAACTTAGAGAACATGGTATTCCCAAGCAGTCACTCATCTTGGTACTGACCAGGCTCGGCATTGCTTAACTAGTGATTGTACGGGACCCAACAGGAATTGGAACTCAGCTCTCCGATTGACAATTCCAAGATATTATTCATTATACCAACTGCAAATCCAAACTGGTATTTTCAAGTCGTCACCCATCTAGGTACTGACCAGGCTCGACATTGCTTAACTGGTGATACCTTGGGAATTGGTGTTTGAACATGACATGGCCGTAAGCCACGCATAAAGACAGACAGGCACCTGAAGAAGGCCAAATGTTCCAATATTTCTAGATTGTAAGAATTTTTTTTTGAGATAATTACTAATTAATCCATACATAGGGGAGTAGAGGGGGATTCATACCTTTCCACCATTACCCATTATGCCACCAGCATATCCAAGCTTACAACACCTGGTCTTCCCAAGCAGTCACCCATCTAGGTACTGACCAGTCCCGACTTTGCTTAACTGGTGATCATATGTTGTTTGAATGTGATATGGCTGTAAGCCATGTATGAAGACAGAAACCTGAAGAAAGCTAAATGGTACAACAGTCGAAACATTGTCAGCATAATAGCCACGCTGGTCCAAGTAGAAAAATATTTGCTATCTTTGACACTGTTCATTTGCATGCTTTGTTGATTTATGCTGTTTGCAAACAACTTCTGAGTACCATTTCCTCTGCTAGGCACGGCCCTTTCTGCCCTAGAACATTAATCTTTAGATTAAATGGTAAACAAGAAGGATAAGAAAGAAACTGGCGCCAAATAACTTACCACATTAGCAAAAAGGGCTACTTTAGCAAAGCCTATTCTTTTACTCCACATGATTCTATATTCCTCATCTCCAAATAAAGCCTCTCGAACACCACCTGTCATGAAAATAATAAAGCAGTATTAACAATTTTATTTAGGGAAATAAATATAGCCAAGGAAATATTATGTAAGCATCTATTTCATTATTTAAGCAGAAATCCAAACATGTCATGAAAATAATAAAGCAGTATTAACAATTTTATTTAGGGAAATAAATATAGCCATTGAAATATTATGTAAGCATCTATTTCATTATTTAAGCAGCAATCCAAACATATTCGGCTATTAGGATGTTTTTGCAGTTTCTGAGTAATTAATAATTTTCGGCACTGCTTAAACTGATTGATCCTATTGTAAAAATAGGGAAAATTAGTGAGGGAGAGGATAGTTTTTGTAGATTAGGCATTTATTAGAACTTTATCTAAGTTCAACATCTGTCAGAATTGAAAATATGGGTTTTTTTGCACCATTTTTTTTAGTTGGGTATTGTTCATAATAGGAGTAGAAAGGTTCACACACTCCTCCTTGGTCTTTTGAACAGGAGTAGAGGTTTACCTCTTCTTTCCTCTTTAGGACTGGATTTCTGGTACCTTCTACAGTCTGCCACAACTCTATACTTCCCATACCTCTGCTTAAACTCTGAAATTTTATTCACTATTTATTTTTTCCTCAATACGAGTAGATAAATTTGTCTATCATCAGGTCCACATTCCTCGCCAGTCCTTTGAATAGGAGTAGAGGTTTATTTCTTGTTTCCTGTTTAGGATTGGGTTTCTGGTTCCTTCTAAAGTTTTCTCATTCTCTTTCACTCTCAGTAGCTCTTTGTGTCTGAGTGGCAGTATCACCTAGCGGAGTGAATTGATTAAATAATACAGTGTCAAATTGATCGCTGACTGCTTAAAGAGTTATCTGTAATTTGTTTTTATTTACAAATTTAAAGTTTGAAACTGTGTACAAGTTCTTTTTATAACTGCATACTACTGACGTCTTTTTTCTTAATTCCTAATAGTACACATTTAATGACATGAATAGAGATTCTAATTTGACATTTAAATAATAAAAAAGTACAGATCGCTCTTTAAGAAGTCAAAGTTTGATTTGAAACTGTATTTATATTATAAATATGTGGTAAAAATAAAGTTACAAATTTGCACATTTGCTTTATATTCATTTAAATAAAGGTATGCTAATCCAAATGCAAAAAATCCAGGCTATTCCATCAACCATTTTCTGTTATAAGTGACTGAATAAATCTGTCCCAGTTTTTCTTTGCATCATAGAGCCAATGGCATTGGAAGACACATACCTTTTTGATAATTCTAAAATTATAAAAAAATATTGATATTTTTTTTATTCTGACAAATGCTGTCTCTTGAGGAAATACAAAATTAAAAATAAAGTTCTTTTTTATTTTTTTGCCAATTCTCTAATAAATAATAATGATAATAATATATATATATATATTATCTAATAATAATAATAATGATAATATATATATATATATATATATATATATACACACACACACACACACATATATATATATATATATATATATATATATATATACACACACACACACACACACATATAACAGTAAAATAGTGTTCAAATGATAACAGCAAAACCATATTATTGTTAGAATAAGATCTAAATCGTTGCATCTTAGAAATAGCTAAGTATTGGAATCTCATGAAGGATTGAAATCAAGTTCATATATATATATATATATATATATATATATATATTCCAGGATCATTTTCCAACTTATTCAACATGATCATCACCTTCTCTAACCTTCTGTCCTGGAGTAACAAGGTGTCTCACAGGTTTCATGGATGATTTCATTTTCAAGTATTTTTTACACTGCTCTTTAGACTGTCATAGCTGAAACTCCTCTTTCATGTGACAAACGTCTTATGGATTGAGTTGAATTTTTTCTTATTGATCACTTTAGCTCGATGCTAAAATAATGATCCTTCTTCCTACTGTGACCTCCTAATCCAGTTTTCTTCTCTACTGTTCCCTCTTTTTAAACTTATTCATCATTCTCTTCATGCTTCTTGAATGAACTTTGAAGATGGAAGCCAGAGTATGAATGTTGGTACCATTACTGAAGGACTGAATGATCTTTTACCTCTCACCATTGCTCAGTTGGGATGACAGTGGGTCTAACACAAAACGATTTTAACCTGCTCTTTTTTTAGCTGAATAGATAAAAGGATTTTTTTTTTTAGCAATTATTATGACACATGGTGTCAAGATGGCTAAATATCTGAAAACCTGGAAAAACAAATTCAATTAGTTTAGTGTTTTTTACATATTAAACATTTTGTGGGATGGACAATTCTACTGTTACACCATATATATATATATATATATATATGAAAAAAGAAAGACAAAAGGAAAACTTATCTTAGGTGATGAGTTTCGTCCTCTGAGGGACTTTATCAAAGCAAATGCAAGGAATTTATTTTGTAACAAGTATTTATAGGCAAGAAAAGTCTAGGTAAGTTATGAAGGACACTAAGTGACATAATTTAATGTCTAATAAACAAAATACTTATATATTAGAGTCATCCATAGCCAAGAGAGGATATTATCAGTTCTATTGACATGAAGAATTCTTGGTCCGAGTAGGGCCATTTTTTTTAAACAGATTATTAAATTTCTTTAGTCTTCAGGAAACTTTGTTGATTGAATCTGAACTCTTGATGACAAAAAGAAGAAAACTCCCAAACAATGAACTATAAACCTGAAAAAAGGCTGATGATATGAAGACATGACTGTATATCTCATAGAACCACCTCAAAATAAGGAGATATCAAAAAGAAAATATTTGCAACTAATTTCAAAATCTCTGACAAAATGCCAAAGTGCCAAAATCTACAATTTCAGGTGTTATTATACACTTCAGTAATTTCACCTCTTGTAATTTTGAAAGGTTCAATCATCACAGAAAAAAATGTCAAGACTATTGAATTTATTGTTTTTGTTGTAAGTACATTTTGATTGATTAATTCTACAGCCTTCTTTGTACAATTCATAGGAATAAAGAAGCCTCTTTTCTTTCTTTCTTGATAGAGATGTGCAGGTGGTGTAAGGGATTAGCCATAATTTTCCTATAAATTTTCTGAAATATTTATTTAAAATAAAACATTTCCTTCAAAATTATTTTCTCAAACATTTAATTTGTACTGCAAGACAGCTCTTCTCTCTGCTATCTCACCTTCATAAATTTTCCGTACAGTACTACGTGTGCAGTGTAACGGATAACATCATGGAATGAGAAATCAGAGATCAAAGTTCAAATTCATGTTGGGTTTATTACATTCATTTACACATGAACTCATTTTCTCCCTAGCTATGGGTTAAATAGTAGGACTTGCACCTGGGAAAATTTTGTTTTCATCACAAAATTGTAAATGCAATATTCCCTTGCAAAAATGAATTATTCCAAGTAACCAAAATCTGTTTTGGCTTTAAATAACCCACAAAGGGTTGATAAACTATAAAAATCAATATCTGTCTATATTTTTGAGATGAGGTATTATGTACACTACTTACATTATTCAGACTGTTGTCCTCATCTTTGTTGCCATATTTATTACAACGTTTTGGCCATTGTATGCTCTGACCTTCTTCAGGTGGTTGGAATGTTGAACTGAACCCTTTATTTCTCTCACTAGGGTCCTCAAGGACACATGGCAGTGGATAAAGGCATTAGTTAGATCCAGTGACAGGACCCAAAGAGTGTGAGTTCAATACCTGGTTAAGGCAGTGGAGAACTTGGAGAGGGAAATAAACAGGAGATAACTGATAACTGACATCCATTAAACATGGTATGTGGAACTAGAACAGTCTACCCTAGTGAGTGAAATAAAGGGTTCAGTTTGACATTCCAACCACCTGAATAAGGCCGGAGAATACAACGGCTGAAACGTTGTAATAAATATGGCAATGAAGATGAGGGCAATAGTCCGAATAATGTAAATAGTGTATAAAAATCAAATCAATCAACAATGTTCTTTATATTGTGCAAAGCAGAAAATATTAGGAAACAGAAAAGAAATATTGGCAAAATGAACCAATCAGATCAACTCATTCACTGCAATGTGTGTTCAAAGGTTTTGTTTAGATTTCATCTTTGAGGTGCTATGTCCCTTCTGGATTTGAGTAATCATGGCTCTCCACAACTTCTTATCCTTCTTATTGATTAACTAATTCATTTTCTATGACTTATCAACCCTTTTCAGGTTATTTAAAGCCAGAAAATATTTTTACATTCTAAGAATTTTTTTTGGAGATAATAATGGTTTACTGATACAATAGCTAACTAGGGGGATAAGAGGTGGATTCATACTTTTCCAGAAGGTTTTCATGTATATCTGAATATAATTAGTCCATGGGAATTCTGATTAAAAATTCCAAGCCATTATACATTACACCCAAGTGGTCACCCAACTAGATACTACCCAGGCTCAATGTTGCTTAACTTTGGTGATTGTACAGGAACTGGTATTCCAACCTGATGTGGCCATAAGCTATAAACTAAACTCATTTACTGCAATGTGTGTTCAAAGGTTTTGTTAAGATTCTGTTAGTGATTTTTTTCAGTGAGGTGGTGTGTCTCTTCTGTAACTGAGCAATTATAGCTCTCCACAACTTCCTATTCTTCTTAGTTCTTAGCCTTTTTACTATCCTTCCCAATCCCTTTATACCCTCCTTTTATACAAGCTTCTAAGATATGTTACAGTTTCCCTCTGTCCCTCAATATGTCCTGTGCATGTCAAATTCACCAAGCCCACTTTCCTCATAATGTACCCTCGAAATTTCAGCTCTCTCTTATTCTAAGCATACTTTTTGTTTCCATTTTCCTTTAAAGTTTGTTATTATTCACTGTTGGTGAAAATCACTTTAAAAATTTTTGGAATGATCAGACATTGATGTTTAAATTTTAAAAAAATAAAAATAACACAAACAAAAAGAGCCTGCAATCAGAAAAGGGTTAACATGGCCAACTATGCTTGAAGAGAGTTTTCTTTTCTTACCTGGAGCAATTGCCAATACATGACCTTCTTTTAGCAAGTTAATACAGCTCTGAACAGTACCAGGTGTTACTTTGAAGACATCCATCAGGATCCGCAGTCCTGACAATACAGAGGAAGGCAGAGATGAAAATTACTATTTTAAATAATGAAGGAAAAAAAAAAAGAAAACTTTTTTAAGAAATTTATTTAACGAAAGAAAAAATATTCCAAACGTTTTTAAAGAAAATATCTTATTTATCTAATTTACATTTGGACTATTGTCTTCAGTTTTGCTGTTATTTTCATATTTCAGCCATTATACTCTACAGCCTTCTTCAAGTGTCTTTTGATCTAAATAACCTTCAGGGAATTTTGAATTGAACCCTTTATTTAATCTACAGGATTCAGTCTACAGCCCATTTCTCGTTTTGTTCATATTTTTAGTACTGCCAAGTTATTGCTTTTTTCACAAACTAGCAGTAGAGCCCAGCGTTGTCCGGGGATGTAACAGTAAGAGATAGATCAAGTATCGATCATCATAAAGACTGAAAAATAAGATTGACAAAAATTATTGTTTAAGGTTGACGGACACGCATGTCTTAATTTTTTTTTTTTTTACGAATTAGTCAAACCCAAACTCAAACAAAACCATAGTTTTCAATTGTTATGACTCTCTACTGATTGAATAGAATTTTATTATAAACAATTGTCTTGTAAATGGAATTTTTAAAGCATTCTGAATGTAAAAATAAAGAAAAAAGTGTGCAAGACAATGAGAAATTTTTGTTGAAATCGGTTGAAAAATGTAGGAAATCCGATCCGATATATAAACGAACACAGACACACACACAACCTGGGTTTTATAATAAGTATAACTCGATATGAGTTGTCCCCCTTTCATTCTCGCGACAGAGATGACTCTTAATTGGGTTTTTTCAAATTGATTTTGTGCAAAAACAATTGTGTTTTTCCAATTTTTGGCGCTGTCAGAACCACCGCAACGTAATTTTACGTAGTCCTGTGAAGTTTTGTTGAAATCGGTTGAAATATGTAGGAAATCCGATCCAATATATAAAGAACAGACACACACACAACCTAGGTTTTATAATAAGTATGATTTACTAATGCCATCAGTACCTGTCTGCTATAGACTGATCTACAGGGTATTCCAAAAGTCATGCAACAATTGGCAAAAAACATACACTTTTGAAATAGCAACCAGAGAAAATCTGCATGACATGATCTATAATTCAACCAATAAAATTTCTTAATATATTGTCATATATAGAAACATGATTCTATTTGGTAAATAAATATAGAATTGACAAGGTTATCAATGGTCATATATGACTTTTGGAACACCCTGTATAGTTCTGGTGTTCTTAAAACAGAATAAGATTGAAAATAAAGGGAAAACTCTTGATGAGAAATGATTTCTTGTCCCTTCTGTGTCAGCCTGACCTCTTTATTCCGGCACCCATCGGACAAGATCACTGACAAGCTACAAAAAATACTGGATAACAAATCTACCCTAAAATAAAACCTTTATATAAACATAGATTTGCCAGTTGATTCCACCTAGATATTGCTGGGTTATGAAACATAGAACAAAACTTAAAACACAAAATAAAACAATCATTAATGCTTCCAAACAGGGTTTTGATTGTTTCACACAATACAAAGGCTGAAAAAGCCTAAAAACAAAAAGTAATACATACTATCCTGAATAGCTAAATACTCAGCTGTTGTATAAGAAATGAGCAAGGCTGTATCACCAAAACCCTTTGCTGTTGTTGGCCACTGTGGAAAAATGTGACCTTGTAATCACTCAACAATCTAATGGCAATTGATAAAAAAAAATTCCGAAGTGTGGGAGTCACCAGACCATGGAGTACCAAATGAAAGAGGTCGCACAAGTACTGTTCAAAATATTGCTCACCCTATTTTCACTGAGTCTAAGTGCCTACTACCCAGCCCAGGGATTGAACTCAACATTACACATGCTTGAGCAGACGTTCATGCTTTTTAAATGGACTAAAAATCAAAAATATTAATAAGAAAGAAAATGTTTATCACTTTTAAGACATTCAATCTCGAGGCAGGTAGACATTAATTTCACTTTTTAAAAAGTAGAGATTTCACCACATGTTCCTATTATACATAACATTTATAGGAATAAGAAATAATATTAGTTAAAAAAAAACATTAATTTATTAATAATTACTGATATATATTTACTATATGGATAGGGGAACAGGGTTTAATAGCAGAGATAGAGAATTTATAGGTATAGACAGTGTGGACATAGGAATCA